CAAGATTTATAAACAATTAAACACATATATAGTACTTACACAAATACAGATGTAGGCTATCAAATTTAAAAGTTTACATTTTCTTCATTTGCTCTTGAAATAGGATAGTGCCTGGTATCATTGTCAAATGCAAAGTAAACTGCAAGGAAATGTGTTTATAACTGTCTTTTTATTGCTAGTGCAAAGAAGTGTAGTATAAAATAATAGGATATAGTGTTTTTATATATTACTCATTTTGATATCTTGTGGAGATACCCCTTTTTTTACTTAAGCTTTATAGCTATAGACTTTATGTATGTATGTATGTATGTATGTATTTATTTATTTATTTATTTATTTATTTATTGGTACTGGGGATCAAACTCAGGTCCTTGCGCCTCTGAGGCAGGTGGCAGAACCACTGAGCTATATCCCCAGCCCTAGACTTCGTTTATTATTTAAAGGGTTATTGGGCCAGGGATTTAGCTTAGTGGTTCCGGCGCCTGCCTTGCAAGCGCAAGGTCCTGAGTTCAGTCCCCGGTACTAAATAAATAAATAAATAAATAAATGGTTGTTTCTATATTTTAAGAATGCTTAGAATAGTCCTGGAGAGAACTTGCATTGTCAACATGCTGTCTTATCTACATATCTACATATCCAAGTATCTAAAATAAATATAACATTTCAGTATGTTTTGTTAATTGCTAAAGGCAGGTGAGGCTTCTCAAACAGAAACCGTGTCTGAAGAAAACAAAAGCCTTATCTGGACACTACTGAAACAAGTCCGTCCGGGTATGGACTTGTCCAGGGTTGTTCTGCCTACATTTATTTTGGAACCTCGGTCTTTCCTGGATAAACTTTCAGATTACTACTATCATGCAGACTTCCTGTCTGAGTAAGTATATTCTTAATTCTTAAAATAGAAGGTACTGTATTTCATGATTTTAGAGATTCTCAAGAGTGCTACTTTCAATGATTATGCCTTTCCAAAGTGAGATTCTAATGAGGCATCATTCTCTCTTCACCACTTCTATTGTTGATCTTAATAAGAAATGTATTTTATGAAGCTACACTGAAAGATCACAATTTTGAAGAAGACAAGAATTCTGCCCCTCACTGCCCACATTGCTATGACAGGCTCCTTGACCTGTTCACTAGTTTAACCCAGGGTGAGGTAATTGGCATGTATCTGCTCCTCATCTAAGCCTTCATTCAAGTTCCATCCTAGGACTTGTTTCTTGTGAGACCTGTGCAACTTACTCAATCAGAATGACCTGCCAATTACAGGCTTTTGCATCAGTCCCTTCTCCTGTCTTTGGTTTTCTTTGGAAGCTGCCAGCTGATCTTGAGTGTAATTCTGAAGAAGGCAAGCATAAGGAAACAGGAGAGGAACTGCCCACTTCTGTCCCTAAAGTTTTTCCGTAGAGTTTTGCAAACAATAGCAACTTTGTGGCCACCTTCCCACCTCCCACCTGCTGCCCCTACTCCAGCAGCAGTGGTGTTTCCAAGACACTGTGTTTTCTGTGGTAGCAGCTACTGGCCCTGTGTCCTGATTTTTTAGACTCTGCATCAGTATCTGTCTTTAGTTTCTGTTTATTAATTGTGTTAGTAACATTGGAGAAAATCATAAGTGAATCAAATGATAATTGATAAACAGAAAATTTTACAAATTATATGATAGACAAAATGTTAATCTCCCTGAAATATAAAGAACTCTTAGAAATTTAATGAAAATGTTGAACTATCTGTAGAAAAGGGAATAAAAGAAATGACCAGGCATTTCAAGAATGAAGAAATAGAAACAGCCTTTAAACATGTAAGCGTCATGGAAAATAAAAATATAGAGTCAAACGAGCAAGATAGCATTGTACCTTCACCACACTAACAAAAAGTCCAAAAGCTTTTATATACCAGTTCTTCCATCTTCCTTCTGTCTTTATCTGTCTAGGAATTCATTTCTCTCAGAATATAAGCAAATTCCTATAAAAAAAACTCCCATTTCTATAAATAGAAAGGTTATACTTTTCTAGCGACACACACTGTTGCCAAAGCTCTATGGGGCAACAGACACTTTCACACATCTCATTAGAGATACAAAGCAGCACAGTGCCTTTGAAGGGAATCTGGTAGTATTTGCCAAGATATAGATTCATTCATCCTTTGATGCAGTAATCTTGCTTATTGTGAATAACTCCTGCAGCTATAACTCTGCATATGCCAAATGACACATAGAAGATTGCTGCAGTGGGGTTTATAATAGTAAAACATTAGCTGAAGTGTCCAGCCATAGTTGACTGCTTAAATAATGTATAGTACATCTACACATATACAGAAGAACTATATTGATATAAAGAGACTCCAGAGAAAAATAAGATATAGAAGAGTGTGTGCTATATTTTTAGAAGAACAGAACTATTTATATTTGCTTATTTATGCATAGAGGAAACTTTAAAAGAACTTAAAAAAAAAAAACTTACCTTAGCCAGCTGCAATGGTACATGCCTATAATTCCAGCACTCTGTGACAGGGAGGTGGAAGATTGCAAGTTGGAGCCCAACCCTGAGCAACTTAGCAACTTAGTGAGACCCTGTCTCAAAATTAAAAATAAAAATGGCTGAGAATGTGACCCAGTGTAAAGGCCCTGGGTTCATTGGCTTCAGTCCTCAGTACCTCAAAAACAAAAATGAAAACAAGACATGGGACATTATAACTGTTGTAAATTGCAGTCATATTCATTGGAGACGTGTTTCTTCATATTGCCTTATCTTCTCAAGCTGCATATGTGTAAAATTTAAAATAAAATTACATAATAAGAGAATTTAAACCATAGCAAGGGAGCAAATAGAGGTTTGTTACTGAAGAAAAATACAGCTCGACACAGTTGCCAGTAAGTCTGGGCCTAGCCTCTGACATCTTATACTTCATCAGACATGCTTGTGAAACACAAATGCCTTTTTATAAATAAGGCATAATAGCTACATTACAAACAAATACAGTAAGACACCTTATCAATAGAAGTCACAGCCAACACTCATAACCAGTGTTTTGCCAGGTTGGGAACAATAGTCAAATGGGGTTGGGGAGGCAGTTGAGGCATCACTCCTATAGACTTCTCCTATACAATGAGTTATCTTTGATTTATCTATTATACTGGTATTGTTTTTTCACTTTGGAAAATCAGTTGTAGTACATAAGGGGAGGTCAAAGAATAAAAATGGGGGGCTGGGGATTTAGCTCAGTGGTTTCGCCGCCTGCTGCACAAGCGCAAGGACCCAAGTTCGATCCCCGGTACCAAAAAAAAAAAAAAAACGGGTAAAAATCTTTTGGGTGATTGAAATATTTTTAACTTCCATATTTTTAATTTAAAACTTCTATGTTTTATAGTAGAGACTGAAAAACCATAAAATCTTAATAATTAAAGATAAACAAGAGTGGCAGACACCAACTTACTGTCCTGTCCTCCTTGTGCCACACTTCTTACTATTTATCACTGATTTCTGACATCAGCTACTGAAAATGGACTCAATCAAGTGAACATTGGTCCTTCACTGATTTGTGGGGCCAAAGACCTCTAACAAAGTTGTTAATGGGACTACTTGGCTTCTTATTGCTGGGCTACTTACTGCTCAGCATTGCAAATGCTAGGTATCATGCAGTACTTGAATCTCAAAACCTGAGTTTATTTTTTACTCACAACTTCTCACAGAACCTCTTACTACATCTCAAATTCTGTAGAACCCCACTTGAGAAACCTTGGTTTGGAGAGTTTCCAAAAACTTTTTCAGCAAAGACCTGGATAGTATATCAAAGAATAGAGAAAAATCAAGGGGAAAAAAATGACCAAATTAAGAAAAAATAATTCTTGAAAATCAGTTTACACGGGTTATCTTTGTCATCTGTTTTAAGTGTGAATTGTTTTATAATTATATCTCTTATCAGTTATTGGTTGATAAATATGAGGGCGAATTTATGGCACGTTCTACAAAAATGTTGTGTTTATCATTTTGTTTTCTAGGGCTGCTCTTGAAGAAAATCCTTATTTCCGTTTGAAGAAAGTAGTGAAATGGTATTTGTCAGGATTCTATAAAAAGCCAAAGGTAACATTTATACTTTACTTTCTTTAGCTTTTTATGAGGATGGTTTTTTTGGTTGTTTTTTTTTTGGTACCGGGGATCGAACTCGGGTCCTTGCACTTCCATAGCAGGCGGCGAAACCACTGAGCTAAATCCCCGGCCCTAAGAGTTTTTTTTTTTATTTTTATGCGTTATTTTAAATTGTTTATTAACACTTACTAGCAAAATTGCAAAGTACATGGTTATTTAGACCTGTATTTTGATTGAAGTCATACAATTTTACTTCATGAAAATTTCTTTTACTGTGAAACTTCATAAGGATGTCTTTTGATGATAGTTAAACTTGTTTTGACTGGTTTAAATCATTTTGAATTTTCTGTATTTTGGGGGGGGGGTTTGTATTTGTAATTAGAAACTTGTATTTTTTTTTCCCTAGGGACTGAAGAAACCTTATAATCCTATACTTGGTGAGACTTTCCGTTGTTTATGGATTCATCCCAGAACAAACAGCAAAACTTTTTATATTGCTGAACAGGTATTAGGAATGCATGTTATAGAAATAAAACAGATCTTGACATTATTGGGATATTTTTATAGACAATATTACCTCACTAAACTATTGTTTGATCTTTTTTACTAGTGAATGGTAAACACTTAATCTTTTAGTACTAAATGTTACTAAATGGCATACTCCTATGTATTACTCTTACAGTCATGGAATCCCTGATCAAAAATAAATCTCTGTTTTTCCTCCCCTACATCCTTGTCCACTCTTTATATTTATTCATTTACTTTTGGCCAAGTTCATATTGATCATACTTGAAATTATTCGGTGGTTCTCAGTTCTGAAATCAGATTTATACCAATTTGTCAGGCATTCAGGGCCTTCTGGAGTCTCTTATGCCTTTTTGTTTTTCTTTTTTTGGTTTGTGAGACAGAAGCTCACTATTTAGTTCAGGCTGGCCTTGAATTCAGACTGACCTTGAACTCATTATGCAGCCTAGGCTGGCTTTGAACTCACAGCGATCCTCCTGCCTCCACCTCCTAAGTGCCAGGATTACAGGCATGTGCCACCACACCTGGCACTAAATGCCTTGTTAGGTACTTAGCTCTCTGCATTCATAACTAGATAACTTGATTTTTTATACTTTCTTGCCCTCATTATTTTTAAATTTAGTTCTCCCACTCAGTATTTCTGCTCAGCTATTCTTCAACAAACCCTGAGCTGCTTATTCTTCATTTTCCAAATAGCTGCAGCTCCCAGTCATTTTTTCTCGTTTTCTCAAATGTCTGTGCTATTTTTTGTGATTATCCAGGAGGCCATTACTTGTATTATTTACCTTGTTACAAAATAGTTCTCTAATTGACTTGTTAAGGAAAGTAACAATTGAAGTTATATTCCCTCTCCTTCCGGATGACACCTCTTTTGTTGTTGTCATTATACATATAGTAGGCAATCAGAAAATTTATTCTCACTACCCTCTGTCTTTCCCCCTGTCTGCACAAACCTGAGGAATATGGTGTTCCCTCCCAACAGCAATGACTCATCTTTACAATAATTCTCTCCTTGAGTGTAAGAAAGATGAGACCATCTGTCCTTTGATAACCTTCCTTTTGATGCACCCCTCAGGAGGAAACCATTTATTATAGTAATGTTTTAAATTCATGATTATACCATCTTACATTTTAGTTCACTATAATTCAGGGCTGGGAATTTAGCTCAGTGGTTCCGCTCCCTGACTCGCAAGTGTAAGGTCCCGAGTTCCATCCCTGGTACCAAAAAAAAAGAGTTATCTGTTATAATTCTTCACAAAAACAATGTAAATAAATTGAAAACATTGAATTATTAAAATGGCATATTTGTCAAAGCTTTTGTTTTTTTTCTTCAGCCAATTCAGTAATCCATAAGAAGAGTAGACAGGAATATCTTAAGAATATTAGTTATCCACTGTTGCATAACAGATTACTGCCAAAACTAAATGGTTTAAAACACTTCTGTGGGCCGGGGATTTAGTTCAGTGGTTCCGTCACTTGCCTTGCAAGCGCAAGGACCCAAGTTCAATCCCCCGTACCAATAAATAAATAAATAAATAAATCACTTGTTATCTCATAAGACGAAGTTGGAGAATCTCAGGGAGGGAAGACAAAAGGTGAAAAGGAGAGGGTAAGGGAGGGAGAGAGCCCCCAAGACCCTTCAAGATGGAAGCTGCATTATAACCTAGTTCCAGAAATGGTCATTCTGCAAAACTGTTTTGGTTCACTGTGAGGGAGAGCTACCTTAATGGTGTGAATACCAGGAGGTAGGTTTCCATGGGAGAGAGGAAATGGTTACTGTAACCATCAATATTTAATTTATTACCTATCAAATTTTTTTACTCATTGTAAGACTTTAACTTTTGATAATAGCACAATAATACATTTATCTACATTTTATGTTTTTTCCTGTATTCAATAGGTGTCTCATCATCCACCAATATCTGCCTTTTATGTTAGTAACCGAAAAGATGGATTTTGCCTTAGTGGTAGTATCCTGGCCAAGTCCAAGTTTTATGGTGAGTTTTCCCATCCCAACCTTCACCCTTTCCAGAGAGGTAGTACTTTCTGGTGAGTTTTATTTACAAATAAAATTCATAAAATAAATTGTTTTTTATTTATTTTTAGCAAAGAATTTATATGTCATTTTAAATACCATCTTTAATTGAATAATGACTTTGTTGCCCATTCATAAAAAGAGATGTGGCTCATCGCATATAACTTCATCACAAACATCACATATAAAAAGACAAAATGATTGCCTTCTAGACCTTTCTAGTACATAATGGGTTTCTTTTACCTTTACCTCTACCAAGTTTTTTGTTTTGTCTCAGTGTAACTGGGAGATCAGTCTTTAAATTTTAGTCTTTAAATATATATAGAAAGAATCTACATACTAGTAAGAAAACTTGGTCCAGGGTCAGTTAGCAGCAGTCTTTTTCTTGACCATTCTGTGATAAACAATTCTTTTTCCTTTCATGATGTTTGCTTTGAGTGTTGTGGTTAGAATGTCCCTCTTATTTTAGCCTATTAATTAGTTATTTATCTCTTCTTGTACTTTTCTGTTTTTATTGTTCTTTAATTTTCCTGACATTTATGTCTACATATACTGTATGTATGAATTGAAACAGATTATAACTTTTCTTTTGACAAAAGCCAACTAATTTTACCTTTACTTGATCAATTTACCACTGATTTTAAGTACCATTATCTTCTACTTCAAGGGCTATCTTTTCTGATCCATTGACCTGTTTTTTGTTTGTTTTTTCTTTTTGTTTTTTTGTATCACTATTCTATACTCTGAGCAACGTTTACTTTTAAATCCTTATTTAATGTTCTGTAGAGCAGATAAAATACAGGTACTTCTCTCCACACTGAAAAATGTGTTCTTATTTAGGAGAACTGTTCACACTTTTCAAGTGTTATACATGGACCACCAGAATCAGAGTATAAGTTGAAATTTTAAAATTTTGAATCCTAATTTTAACTAAATAAGTCAGAATTACTGGGCTCAAGAACATGCATTTTTTAGTCACCCCACGTTATTTTATACACTAAAATTTGAAATGGCTTCTTATACAATGTTAAATGAAAAGCAGAATACTGTACGAAAAAATAAATGGAGTCAACTCTATTTTAAAACATATATATAAGTATCTATGTGTGTGTGCTTACATATAAAGAAAAAAGATGGAAAGAACTATGTTAAAATATGACTACCCTAAATGATAGAATTATGAGTAGTTGTCTTTTAATTTTTCCAAATGAACAAGTACTTCTTTTGAAATAAAGGAAAAGTTGGTTGTGTTAAAATGTATTATAGTTATAAATAGTACATAATAAATTATTTTATATACCAATCCATATATAAGATTGGATACAAAAAAGAAACCTTTATACTTTAGTATGATGAAAATGTATCTGGACAGTAGTGGCTGAATATGGTCTTTTTAGATTAATCCTCCTATTGTGGATATCTGGACTTTGAGTATTTTACATATTTAAGGTTTTTTCACATGGCTTTCATAAAGTATCACATAACTATAACTTTTGAAAGTACTCATTTTGTAAAAATGAGAATATGAATCAAGAACCGTTTTAGATATAAGGTAATCAGTACATATTTGAGCACATTTAAATCATTAACATTGAGATGTTTTAAACATACTTTGCTATATGGTAGGTGTCCTAAATATATTTTGTTTAAATGAGTTGAAATTAACTTTGTGAAATTTAATTAGACATACTTTGTTTCAGGAAACTCATTATCTGCAATATTAGAAGGAGAAGCACGTTTAACATTTTTGAATAGAGGCGAAGATTATGTAATGACAATGCCATATGCTCATTGTAAAGGTAATATTTTCCACACTTGAGTTAGATATTTCTTAAACCTTCTTTATAAGTAAATATGTGTGATCATTATTGGCTATGCTTTGAGATTGGTGGAGTCATACATACTTCATTTGAAAGCATCGTTTGTTCACCAATGTTTAAGATTATTAATATCGGCTGAATATATCTGTGGTGATAAATTCACATATAATGGATTTTTGTTGTACATACTTTATTTGGAAGAGACTGGTTTATGATAGTGGAATTACTTTGTCCTTTCCTGTGTGCAGGATTTGAAATTTGGTGAAACGGTCCATTATTTTCAGTATCCTTAAAAGTGATTTTAAATGATCTTCTTGTACCACTACCCTTTTTAAAATTTTAATTTGCCATTTTTCAGTGTACCAAGTAACTTCAAAAAATTTTTTTTCATTCTCATTTGACAATTTCTTAAAAGTGAATGTATTATTCCCTCTCTCATTATATAGAATACAGATAAAAACAATAACTATATTTATAACTTAACTATATTTCAACTAACTGTTCTATGTGCTTCACACTTATCAGCTCATTTAATCATTTCAGCAGCCCTATAAAGTAGAAATATTATCTCTCTTTTATGGATAAAGGAAAATAAGGGGCAAAGAGGTTAATTTGCCTGTGGTCACAGAGCTAAGAGGTGACAAAATCAAGATGTAAACTCTGTCCAATTCTAACTTTTTACTATTTTGTATCACCTTTAACACTTGGCTTGATCACTTGAACACTTGGCTCCTGTCCAATGTATTTCATAAAACTAATTTTTTTTCCTCCTTTGAGACAGGGTTTCCCTATGAAGTTCAGGCTGGCCTTGAACTCCCAGTGATACTCCTGCCTCAGCCTCTCAAGTGCTGGTATTACAGGAGTGCACCACCAAACCTGGCAAAACTAACTTTTTTGATAGCTATTTTAACAACTGATTCACAAAAACAAATTCTTTAATATACTTTCATTTCACAGTTGAGAAACCTAAAATGGTTAGGAATCTTACCCAAGTTTAACCCAGTTAGTAAGTGACCAACTTATGGCCTCAGGCTAGATAATTCTTAAAGCTTCATTTGTAGTTTTTAAAATAAGCATGAAGTATCTGAAATTGTGAATTATAAAAATATTTTTAAATTTTTGTATCATTTATTCCATATCATAACCAACTGGCAATAGGGAAAGTTTTTTTCATACCAGTGTTTTTATTGCATGGGGGGAAAAAAGAGAGAATATAACCCTTTGTGATGAACATAGAAAATAATGGTTATTTTTATAGGATTTTTCCATGTGTGTTTTCTAGGGTGTGATTCCCAAATCACTGATCTCATAAGTTTTTTTGTACAATAAAAATTTCATGGCCAAATAAGTATGACAAACATTTCATAGTCTGTTTCCCTCTCAGAAATTAATATCATCTGTTTGCATATTAAAGACTGCTTTAACAGCTTAATTAATAGATACACACATACACAACCTGTTTAACTTTCTTTAGCTTCCCCAGTTTTTAGCCAAAGAACCTATTTTGCAGTTATGTTTGTTTGCTTCATTTTATCATTGCTCCTACAGAAAATATGAGTTAGGGTCCTATGAGTCTCTTGTCACAGTATTTCCATCAACTAAATCAGTATATAACCTTGTTTAAGTGTGTTTCTTTTAATGACATTATATACTATTGTTTCAGTGCTATTGAACTAACCGCCAGTAGCACTATAACTCATGCCTGAATGAAGCTTTAACACATAATTTCTCTGTAAGGTCAGCATAGCCTTCCTGTACTTCAGAACTAGATAGCACTTCAGTTCTACACTTTGGTCAGTTGATTTGATCAAAATCATTAACAAAAAGCACAAAAGTGCAAAACACACTCACTAAATATCCTGCAGAAAGAATGCTTTTTTTTTAGGGGCCGGGGATTTAGCTCAGTGTTTCCAGTGCCTGCCTCGCAAGCGCAAGGTCCTGAGTTCAATCCCCGGTACCCCCCCGCCAAAAAAAAGAGTGTTTTTTTTAATAGTATGAAAGCTGAAACTGTGTGGTCTAGTTCTGCCTCAGCTAGCGATGTGTACATTTAGTGACTCAAAGTTTTTGTCACCCTATGCATGTCCTTGAATGACCACAAAAGCACTATGGGTATTGATTTTGGAATCATCTATATATTTTACAGAGTAGGCAAAGTTACAGATATGGAGTCTGCACATATCCTGAATCAGCTGTTATTTATTTACATCCTATAGGAAAAAACTTTATGTCTGTATTATAGATTTTTATTAAGTGGGATGGAATGCCCTTGAATTACAAGTTTCTTTTAAAGGAGGTTAGATAGCAGAATGCTATTTATCATACAGAACCTGTCTTTGTCTTCAAACTTTTGTGAATTTTTTTTCTTTAGGAATTCTTTATGGCACAATGACACTGGAGCTTGGTGGAACAGTCAATATTACATGTCAAAAAACTGGATACAGTGCAATACTTGAATTTAAACTAAAGGTTAGTACAGATGATAAGAGATATTACGAAGTTTAAAAAGGGATGTGCTATAAATAGTAATAAAGAATACAGTTTAGTTCCTATGGCATTATGAACTAAATATAAGAACATAATTCATGTCAAGGCAAAAAGAAGTTTATCTGAGGGATGAGGACAAGGCTGGGTAAATATCTTGAGATAATCTGAATAGCAGCCTTAGAAGACCCAAAGTAACACAAAGCTATCCTTTTTGTCTTTAATTAATAAGACTATTAGTATTATATAGGAAATGAGACTTTAAAAGTGATTGGATTGGGCAGGGGATTTAGCTCAGTGGTTTCTCTACCTGCTGTGCAAGCGCAAGGACCCAAGTTCAATCCCCAGTACAAAAAAAAAAAAAAGTGATTGGATAGAAATTGCTCTGTAAATTAAATCATTGCTTTATGAAGTACTAGAAGGTACATATCATCTTGCATTCTAGTCATGTTTACTAAGACAGAATTGTATTGCCTACTGTTACTGCATGACAGATTAATCTAAACTCACAGCCATGTTCTGATCCTCATGGGATCCATAGTGCAGAAATTTGGACAGGGCAAATTGGAGATGGCTTATCTCTGTACCTTAAAGCTGGGGCCCCAGGAATACTTTCAGGACATGGATGACTTGATAGTTGGGGCTGTCATTTGTATGTCTGATGTCTGGTCGGGGACTGAAGGACCTGCACAGTTATCCAAGTACCTATGTACATGGCCTTTCTATGTTACTTGGCTTCCTTACATCGTGGGAGCTTTGAGGTATTCAGACTTCATACTTGGCAGTTTAAGGTTTCCATCCGCAAGTGCAGGTGAGCAAGGTGGGAGACTTCCATGTCCCAGCTTCGGAAGCTAAATTACATTACTTCTACCACTTCTGTCCTTTCTCTAGAAGAATTATAAGCCCACCTAATTCAGCGGGAAGGATGTTGACCCCACTTCTCAATGGGAGAGGGGCATAGTCTCACTTAGGGAAGAACATGTGGCCTAGAGGGGAGAAGGGTAGACATTATTGAGGCCATCTTTAAAAAACTGCTGCAGAGTAAAAGGGAAATTCGAGACTTTTTCATAGTGCCAGTAGTTGTTATATGACAGTATGTTATGTTCAGATAAAAATATTCCTATGAACTTTAATACTTGTTGCTAAATTGCACCCATGTTGATATCTAGCTGATGAGCAACTCTGCTCTAATGAAAAAAAACAGCTCAAATAAGAACCAAGATGCATTATGTAAAGGTACAATTCGCAGTGAGAAATGTAATTGTGTTATACACCTAAAATGTACCAATAAAAGAATTTAACCAAAAAAAAAAAAAATCAACAGCTCTTATGTGTTATTTGATGTAATGCCCTTTTTCTGATTTTTTTTTACCATAGCAAAATTTTGCTTGAATGGTGATACTGATGTTCAAAAACCATGGTGAAAGACGTTCTTAAGCAATTTATAATATCTTTAAGTATTGGAGTATCAAAATTAGTAAGGCTATATAGTAACTCAAAGTATATTCCTTTTATTTTTTTGGAAGGACTTATTGGTTATGTATTTTACGTTGTTGTTTTTAAAGAAGGCATTATTTCTTTCAAAATATCATTCAGTTCCTTCTGTTTACTGAGTCATTATGTCCTACTGTATTGCCACGTTGGTAGAACACAGGTGGACAGTTAGGAGAGAATGGCACCCAAGAGAACACGGACATGAGTCAATTGTGTCATTGTAAACTTTCTTAATGTATGTGGATTACACATTTTTACCTAATTTCTAACTAAAATTTGAGGATTTCACTACTTATTTCTTTAAGAGTAACTTTTTCTACATTATATATAAATATGTGTCAACATTAAAATATTCAACTTTTTCTCCATTTCAGCCATTTCTAGGGAGTAGTGATTGTGTTAATCAAATATCAGGGAAACTTAAATTGGGAAAAGAAGTCCTAGCTACTTTGGAAGGCCATTGGGTAAGTATTTTTATATATTACTTTACACGAAGAATCTTATTCCATTGCTAAAAGCACCAATATTTAACCTAAGCTTCAACTTAATAGCAGATATTTTGGTATTGCTCTGTTATCAACAATATTTACTTTTATATATTTTATCTTTCCAAAACTTTTTTTTTTTTTAAGAAAGGGAGACATGACTTTATTAGAAAAATAAAAAATAACTGAGGTGATGAGTTTGTCTTCAACGAATGCCCTGGTGGATAAGGCTGCTTTTAGCTGCACTGGCCTTCTTCTGCTCCCGTCTCCATGCAGGGTCCAATTCAAAGCAGCACCATAGCTGTAGGGTCTCATCAGCTGCTGCTGATGCCACAGTGGCCCCATCTGGACTCACAGTGGCCCCATCTGGACTCATGGTCAGACTCAAGACCTGAGCTGTGTGACCTTTGAGCTCAGCCACCTTGGCCATGGTTGGGTACTTCCAGATAACCACTGGTTCTGGGCAAAGCCATGGCCTGAGATGAGCTCCTTGTAGTGTGGAGACCAGAGGATGGAGCACACCTGGCAATGGGCATCCACTACACTCAAGCAGGCCCCAGAGCAGACATTCCAGATGTGAATATGTCAGTCACTGGTGCCCCCTGCTGTTGCCAGGATATTAGACTGCCAGGGACACCATGCTACAGCCTTGACAGCCCCTTGATGCTGGGTGAATGTTTGCAAGGAACCCAGCCACCCTCTCCAGGAGAACTAGGCCACACATTGACCAAGTTATCATTGCCACCTCTGGCCAAATGTCATCCATCTGGGGCCCAGTGCAGCCCACACACTTCCTGGCTGTGGCCACTCAGTGTGGCCACATGGTGTTCTGCTACCCGAATATCGTGGTGGTGGATATGGCCTGAGCGTGAGCCACTGGACAGGATATAGCTGTTCCAACTTAGAGAGCTCACTCTTGCAGAGTGACTGGTCATGTTTTGGAGCCGTTTCTGCTGTTGAACATCCCGTAACTGCACCTCAGCATTGCTGGTGCCCACAACCAGGTAGTTGCCCTCTTTGATCCAGGCCACAGAGGATACATAGTCCCCAGGCTGCTCCATTTGCAACAGCTGCAGGATGTCACCAGAGCTCGCACTCCACAAGTACACACTGTTGTCCACTGCCACAGCTAGTACATTCCCAGAGCTCCAATCCACAAGGTTCAAGTAATAGTCATTTAGGATTTCAGGGGCATCCAGGATCTGGTCTGGTAGGGAAGGAATATAATGGCAGGTCTTTCAGCTGGAGCCAGGCGTGGTGGCCTTCTGGCTATAGAGCACTTTCAGTCTGTTCTGGTAGCCTTCTGGGGCATTCTGTGGTTTTCCACTGAGCCGAAGGATCTTGGCTTCCTCCACATCAAAACCATTCAGGTTCAAAGCCCAGGCTTTCTGATGCTCCTTCTTGGTGAGTGTCTGGCTGTTTTTAGGTTGGTTCTCCTTGCTCAGGAGGAACCTGGCCACCTCCATCTGGGAAGCACTGCAATGGGAGATATATAGGTCACCTCCAGGTTTGCTAGGGGTGGTCTGAATCTTGGAATTAGATTTGCCAGGAGTTCAGCCTGGGGTCCTGCCTGCGCTGTGGGATCTGTTGGCTGCTCGCATAGGGGAGGGGCCCGGCCCAGAAGCTTCCTTGGCTTTGTGCTGCCAGTGCGCGAGGGGTGCATTGGGCATCGGCGCATCCAGCTGAAGCAGGGAATGCAGGTCACTCAAACACGAACTGCACCATGGGAGCATCTGGAGGAGAGATGGGGTCCTTGAGTTGTCGCCGGCTGAGCCCCCTAGGCTCAGCACAGCTGCTCCTCACAGTGCGCTCCCAGGCAGGTTCCAATTGTGACTTCCAAAACTTTTAAGAGCAGGGCATGTGGCGCATGCCTGTAATTCCAGCACTTGAGAGGCCAAGGCAGGAGGACCACCCCAAGTTTGAGGCCAGCCTGAACTACATAGGGAGACCTGTCTCAAAAAACAAAAAACCACCTTAAATTTGTATAAATGACTAACACTTATATGTCATTATATGAAGCATAAAGAATGTAACATTGGGCCGGGGATTTAGCTCAGTGGTTTCGCTGCCTACTGTGCAAGTGTAAGGACCCGAGTTCGATCTCCGGTACCCAAAAAAAAAAAGAATGTAACATTAATATTTAATATAACCCTATGAGGTAGGTACATAAATACTCATTTTATTACTGCTTGTCGTTGTACCCTTTTTTTAGAGGAGGAAACTAAGGCACAGAGCATTTAAATAATTTGCTTATGGGCCGGGGATTTAGCTCAGTGGTTCCGGCGCCTGCCTCACAAGTGCAAGGTCCCAAGTTCAATCCCCGGTACCAAAAAAATAATAATAATAATTTGCTTAAAGTGGTGGAGCAAGAATTCCAGCTCAGGAACTCTGACTATAGGGCTGAGCTTCTATGTACAGCATTTTATTGCCTCTGACCTGGAAGAAAGAGACATAGCTCCACACAGAAGTATATTTCAGAGGAATGTGAAAAGGATACACTAGTGTGTTATGAGAGCAATGCCTTGGATTTACTTCTCTGCTGACCTACATTCATATGTGTAATTTTCTTGAAAGGAACTTAAAACCAATGATCATGGTACTGCTTAGATGTACTTTCACTGGGAACACTGAGCATATGCTATTATCTGCATTGTAATAAGCAAACCATGAAAAAAATGAAACTAGATTTAGGGACTCAGTGGGACTGTATATGTTCCACAAAACTTTTAAACAGACTTCTGTCTGAATGTGATTTGGGGGGAAAAAAGTAAAGAAGTCTTTTTTTTACAAAATAAAATTTCTAAGTTTGTATTCCAATTTTTAATACAAAAGACTCTTTTGTATTTTATATAGAGTCCATGCATGGTCAGTAGTATCTGCTGCAGCAGATACTGTGTTCTTCCTTAATAGTTTGAAGATGGTAGTCAAGGTTTTGCATGTAATGCTTGAAATTTGCTTAAGTAAAACTTGTAAAAATCTTATGAACTTTCTAGTATTCAACCAATTTTTTCAAAATTGACTAGTATTACATATTTAAGCTTAGTGCTCACTTCGGCAGCACATATACATATTCAAGCTTAATATTTTTATAAAAATACATTTGAGACTTTTAGAAAAGTGCTAGCTACTGTATGTTTAAGATGTGTTTAAGGGACCGGGGATTTAACTCAGTGGTTTCGCCGCCTGCTGCGCAAGTGCAATGACCCGAGTTCAATCCCCGGTACCAAAAAAAAAAAAAAAAAAGATGTGTTTAAGATTCAGTAACAGGAAAAAATTATTATACTATATAATCCCCTTCTAAATAAAAATAATTCTCTACATTCATGCTTAATTTCCTTAAATATAGGATAGTGAAGTTTTTATTAATGACAAAAAGACTGATAACTCAGAGGTTTTCTGGAACCCAACACCTGACATTAAGCAATGGAGGTTAATAAGGCACACTGTAAAATTTGAAGAGCAAGATGATTTTGAATCAGAGAAGTAAGTATACCATTTTTCAGCTACCTTCATGAAGATCAGTTTTTTAATCATTTAATATTGTGATCGCTATTCTCTGTCTGCTGTTACATTTTAATTCAGCAAATAGTTTATCATTTGTACCCCAGGCATGATGGTACATGCCTGTAACCCACCTACTCAGCTGCCTGAGGCAGGAGTTGCAAGTTCAAGTTCAAGGCCAGTCTGGGCAACTCAGGGACCCTGTTACAAAATTTTTTAAAAGGAACGGGGGCTGAGAATGTAGTTCAGTGGTACAGCATTGTGTAATATGTGTGAGGCCCAAGTTCAATCCCCTGAACCACAAAAAGAAAGCAAAAGTTTATCAAGTTTATAATTTATGGGATGTGACAGTATTCTGTTTGGTATGTGTGAATATCAAATAAATACAATACAAATCTTATTTCTCTGCAACTCAGAACTAATCATATTTTTTCCTTTCTTCTCCAATACTTTAAATATTTCTTTTTGTTTGCATAAAATGATGGAACCTATTAGTGATTCTTAGTTTCTCCCTAACAATTACTTTTTAGCCTAATATAGGCATATAGTATGGTGAAGGAAGTGCTACAGAATCTGCTTTTGTACCATTCTCTGAAGCACAAGAATAATGCCACTGGATGTGCTGGCTTCCAAAGGACTTACACTAGTTGGGCAATAAATGCCATAATTTTTGTTCCATAAGTCATGAAATTCTTGCTAGATCACTTATACTTTTGAATCAAAAATATTTTATCCATTTTATATCTCTTTGTATTAGGAGAAGAGATCTTCGGTGTAGAAGAAACTGGTGGGCACTTCATGTACATTAGTCCTCACTAGATCTTCCTACCTGTGTATCATTCTCTTTCATGGACACTCAAGCCTATGTTTACTTTCCCTTCTGCACTCAAAATTGAGGTTACCAAAAATGGAAAATATATAGTTCTAAAAATTTCATCTTAGAGCCAGGCATGGTGGTGCACACCTGTGATCCCTGCATTGTGGGAGGCTGAGGCAGGAGGGTCACTAGTTTGAGCCTAGGCAACTTAGCAAGACTCTTTATCAATGTACTTTTTTTAAGACAGGGTTTCACTATGTAGTTCAGGCTGGCCTTAAACTCAATGTGTTACCCAGGCTGACCCCAAACTTATGGCAATCCACCCGCCTCAGCCTCATAAGAGCTGAGATTGTAGGCATGCACCACTTTGCCCAGCACTGTCTCAAAATTTAAAAAAAAAAAGTGTGCTGGGAATAGAGCTTAATGCAAAGGCCCTGGGTTTGATCACCAGTATTGCAAAAAAAAAAAAAAAAAAAAAAAAAAATTCAGCCATAAACACATGATGCTGTCCATGAAAAGTGTTTTTCCAAAACATAACAGTTTTTGAGATCTGGATATAATTCAACATATTTTAAAGATGAGGAAATGAGACTTAGCAGGATAGGAAACTTTAAGTTCACCAACTGAGAAGTGGCAGATCTAGAATTCATCCCAGGTCTTACTGATTCCGGTTTCACTTTCAATACATTGCCTTCTCAGATGGATAGAATATAGTTGTTATCCTTTAACTGATGAAAAAATTAAATTGTAATAGGGAAAATTATTTTCCTCAAAGTCATTCTTGTTAAAAATGAGTAGTTTCCAACACTGGCAGCACTTTAAAATAATCTAGGAAGCATTAAAATAATATTAATACTTGGTCCTGCTCCTAGAGATTCCAGTTTTAAAAGTATTTGATAATTCAAGCATTCAAGGCTGAGAGGCACTGCTTTGTACTAGTAGATCTTTATGAGGCCAGGGGAGATTAAACATTATGTACAAGAATTATCTGGGAAGCTTGTTAAAAATACTCCTTGGAGCCTACTTTCACTACATTTCCTCATCTTCAGTCAGCAGCATTCACCACCATATGTTTAAGAGCACATGTGATAAATTTCTCTTGCCAAAAGAAGTTAGTCTTAACTCAAGAGCAGGTGTTTCTCTACTGAAAGCACTGGATTTTAATATCTTGACTCATTCCTAAGCATATGAGCATAAGCTTAGTCAAAGCCAGAAATCCACATGAGCATTATTTTCTCTCAACATGATTCAAACCAGCTGTATATAGATTTGGTTTTCTATTGCTTTTTTTTTAATACTATTTTTGCACATGTATTAGACTCTGGCAACGAGTAACTCGAGCTATAAATGCCAAAGACCAAACTGAAGCTACTCAAGAGAAGTATGTTTTAGAAGAAGCTCAAAGACAAGCTGCCAGAGATCGGAAAACAAAAAATGAAGAGTGGACTTGCAAGTTATTTGAACTAGATCCACTCACAGGAGAATGGCATTATAAGTTTTCAGAGTAAGTAGCTAAAAAGAGCTTATTTCAAATAATATATTAGCATCCTTTGTTGCCTTCATTTCTAGAATGTTAGTTACCATATACATTAGTGTGAAATTTTAAACCTGATACTCCATTTGACTTGACTCTGTGATAGCTTATGAAATAAGTTAAAGATCAGGAGATTAAATATGTGCAAATCTTAATATTAGAACTGTGTTTCTTAATGAAGATCTTTTCATAGCATAGAAACTTTAAGTGTTTTGTTTTTGTTTTGTTCTTTTTGGTACCAGGGCTCGAACTCGGGTCCTTGCGCTTGCAGCAGGCCGCGAAACCACTGAGCTAAATCCCCAGCCCTAGAAACTTTAAGTTCTTTTGTCATTAAATAAGTGTTGTTTGTTTGTTTTTTAATTTATTTAGTACTCGACCATGGGACCCACTTAATGATATGATACAGTTTGAAAAAGATGGAGTTATCCAGACCAAAGTAAAACATCGCACTCCAATGGTATGTAATAATAAAGTAACTAGGTCTCATAAACATATAAATTTGATAGTTCTTTAATATCTGTGGCAATCAATATTTAAAGTATACTTTCAAAATTTTAACATTTTGGGTAAGCAAAATGACAGAGTAGAGAACTTCAAACTCTTGTCACTCCAAACAAATATCAAAAAACAAGCAAAAACTATGAAAACAAAATTTACCCAAACTGTGGAAAACCATGAGAGGTTTGCTTTCAGTAAGTTTACATATGCTCTGCAAAATATCAGTATCATTTCTATTTATTATAATATGCCTTCTTACCTAGATATTATTTAAAATAATCAAAAGTTTGTTAAAAATGCAACATCATTCAATGAGAATGTTTTAACATTGAGAACAAGGTAAGTATGGTTTGTTTGTTTGTTTGTTTGTTGTTTTGAGACAGGATCTCACTATAATCCAGGCAGGCCTTGAACTCACTATGTAGCCTAGGTTGGCCTTGAACTCAGGGCAATCCTCCTGCCTCAGCCTCCCGAGTGCTGGGATTACAGGCATGTGCCATTATGTCTAGCTCATGATTTTTAAATACTTACTTAGGATTCTAGTGGAAATACATGTGGAGCAGTTATAACAGTTGACTAGATATATATTTATATTTGTTTCTGTAAGCTTAAAAATATCTCTAGGCAGGCATGGTGCTGCTGCCTGTAATCCCAGCACTCAGGAGGCTGAAGCAGTAGGATCACCCTAAGTTCAAGGCCAGCCTGGACTACATAGTGAATTCAGGGCTAAATTGAACTACATAGTGAGAACCTGTCTCAAAAAAACAAAATATTCCTTTATTTCTGAGTATTATGCCCATGAATAGTTTCAATGTTTGTATACCAGTGGTCTTTAATTAAAAATTATAGAACAAACTCACATAATAGCATGATATTTTTTTCAGGTTAGTGTCCCAAAAATGAAACATAAGCCAACCAGGCAACAGAAGAAAGTAGCAAAAGGCTATTCCTCCCCAGAACCTGATATCCAGGACTCATCTGGAAGTGAAGGTGAAAATATTTATTGCAGACTGTCCACTATATGAAAATGGCTTTTCAGATTAACTCAAGATGATAATGTAAGAATTTTGGCAGAGGCAGGGATAGGATTTAGAGGCAATTCTTGGTCATTGATGAGTTGTGAAAACAGGCCACAGGTAAAGGCATGGGAAAAGAAAAAAGGGGAGAGAGATATGCAGGTAAGAAACACACCATAGACTTGTTAGCCTCTGAAAACTTGTTGGTTAGATAGGTAGAATTCAGGAAGCATTTTTTTTAGCTCAATTTTATGCTTCGAAAAAGTTTCTTATTCTTAGAGTAAATTAGTAGTGTTTGGAAGCCACAGACACGTGAAAACAGAGCTATATAAAAGTATGAAGTAGCTCAATGGTGCCACTGCCTCAAAAGGGCAAGGTCCTGAGTTTGATCCCTGGTACCAAAAAAAAAAAAAAAGTATGAAGTATAAGATTAAATAGTGTGATATTCTTGTCCAAGTGAGATAATATGTTAACTGTCTTCTACATTGAGATATACAGAAGAAAGAATTAAAACATTTATTAAGACATTTTAGATATTATGGGAAAATAGCTTCTAATGAGTGTACATTAAGCTGAGGAGCCTGTTTTTACCTACAGAGATAACCCTGGAGGTGAGTAAACAAGAAGGACCAGAAAATTAGATGATATGTGGTAGTTCAAGGGAGGAGGAGCTCATTTCAATTTGAGGACAGCTTCTTAGAAGAACCTTATGAATTATTAGGATTTTTAATGATTACAGCAGTCTAAACTTGGGCCATGGGATTAGGGCAAATAGTGGAAGAGTAAAGGAATAAAACAAATAAAGGTTTATAAGCAGGAACCAGTGTGCTAAACGGGAGTATTAACTATAGCATTACTATTCACGTTTTACAACCCAGGAAACTGATAGGCCAACCTGCCCAAGGCCATACACCCCATAAAACAGAGCATCCATTTACGTTATGTATTTGTTCCTTAGATGTTTGGTTCCTTAAATGACCATCTTATCCACACCACTGATTATACTGTGTCAGCCGGCATTTGTTGAGTAACATGTTGGAAGACTACATTAAACACACTTCACAACAACTATGGGACATTTTGGTATTCCTGTTTTTTAAATGAGAAAACTGAGACTTGGAGGTTAAGTAAAATATGAACAAAAATGGAAAGGAAGGAATGAGTATGTACGGGGGTTTGAGAAACCTATGCAACTTGCTGGTTGGCAATAGAAATATACAGAGGTGGTATCAAAACTGGCTGAAGACACTGAGCCTGCCTGGCAAGTGCAAGGTCCTAAGTTCAATCCTCAGTACCAAAATAAAAACTGTCTGAAGAAATTTAAAGTTTGGGTCACTAGGGGAGTGACGATAACATTAACAAAACATTTAAAGGGGACTTAAAAAGTTGACTACTACAGATCTGTGCAAGGGACAGAAAAGAATAATATTTTCCCAACATTAATACATAATTTAATAAATTGTTTTTGCCTTTTCTAATGAATTAAAAAATAAAACTGATGCCATCCAAAACTTAAATAATTTATAGTGACTAAATATGTTTATCATGTTCTAGTTTTTAAATGATATGTTTGAGACTTTGAACATCCTGAATGTTAATTTTATTAATCTCTAGGCCACAAAAACTAATGCCTAGGAAAATTTTTATTACACAAGAATTACTAATTATAGATTGTGTTTCTGATTGTAACTTATGTTCTAAATGTCTTTTAGCTCAATCTGTAAAACCAAGTACACGAAGAAAGAAAGGTATAGAACTGGGAGACATTCAAAGTTCCATTGAATCTATAAAACAAACACAGGAAGAAATTAAAAGGTAATATATACTGACAGTGACTAGTCACTTTGATCTAAAGGAAATCCTACACAAACTTTACTTTTTTTGCTAAGTTCCTAAATTATCCAGGTTGGGCTTGAATTTGTGATTCTCCTGCCTCCACCTCCCAGAGTCCTGAAATTACAGACATATGCTACCATGTCTGACCCAATTTTATATTTTTATAACATTGCTAGTCTAAAATAGAACCTTAACCTCTATCGTTTATTGTCTGAAAATTATGAAATTCCTCAAGCACTACAATACTGAGAGAAATGGGAGCATGCTCGGGATGTAGCTGGATTGAGTGTGAAGGTGGGATTGTTTCTGAGAAAGTTGACAAAGACTTGCTTCTACATTCTCCTTTGTAGATGGCCTAATATTCAACTGAAATGTACCAGCAGTTAAAATACTGAAATACTGCCCTGAGACCTTTGTGTGCTCCTCTTAGAGTCCCCACACTCCCTTACACACCACACCCTAGCACAGCAACTAAATGTTGTTAGTACTGAGGATCCTCGAAGAGGAGTCCTAATCCTATTCTATGGCTAAGACTAGCGTGGGTTCAGATTGGTTGTCACCCATGCTGTATGAATTTTTAAAATGTTTAAATTAGCACATCTACTTTTATATATTCAGCACTCGGTACTAGATGTATGTTCTGGATTTTTTTTTAATTTTCTGTTTTTAAAGATTTTATGGTTTACATTTTCATCTATAGACTCATCTCCTGCTATCCTTCTGTACCTATCCCATGCTATCATTCCATGAAATTTTGTGCATCTCTCAGAATATACTGTGCTCTCTCATCTTTGATCTTTGCCCCCGCCGAATCCACTTTTTAAGACTGCCATTTCTTACCACCTTACCCATCAAGAAAATCTCTATGTCCTTCAGAAGTAAATTCATATGACATGGTTTTGGGTAACAATTCTAATCACTCACCCTGCCTTGTATAATAACTTAGTCCCTCAGTTCCACTTTCACCTCCCTGTACATACTTCCTTTGAGTACTCACTACACTCCAGAGTTGTGTCTGTCTACCCTGTTGTACTGCCAGCCCTTTTAGAGCATGGAGCATGTCCTAATGTCATCAGCCTTTTATAGTGTTTAAGTTTCCTAATTTAATTACATTCATAAATTAATTAGCTTACTTGTTTTACCTCCCCCTCTCCCTTGCATTACTGGGGATAGAACCTAGGGCCTTCACCCTGAACTATATTCCTAGCCCATTTTTATTTTTTATTTTGAGATAAGGTCTCACTGAATAGCAAATTTCTTTGGGATGGGCTTGTTTTTTTCCTGGCTATTTTCTTTTACTCTCACCCCATCTCCCCAAAGTAAAAAATAAAAGAACTTTAGTGAGCCAACTAAGAAGCAAAATTTTTGTTTTAAAACCACTGTTGTAACAAAGAAGCTGTTATGTTTCTGTATCATCAAATTTTGACAACTGGGCCAGGGATTTAGCTCAGTGGCACCATGACTGCCTTGCAAGTGCAAGGTCCTGAGTTCGATCCCGGGTAACGGAAAAAAAATAATTTTTTTTGACAACTGTGTTTGATGCATATCTTTATGTGTGCTATAATTTGGAATTCAGATTTAGACAAAGCCTAATAAAGGCTGCCAATGGCATAATCAGGTCTTTGGTTGTGTAGTAATTGATTGAACGATTTACTTTAGATAATGTAATTAAATGCTTTGTGACTGTATCAAACTGAGTTTTGTACTAACATTTCTGGAAAATCATCATAAAATTTATTATTGCTTATTTTTATAGGAATATTATGGCTCTTCGAAATCATTTAGTTTCAAGCACACCTGCAACGGATTATTTTCTGCAGCAAAAAGACTACTTCATCATTTTCCTCCTGATTTTACTTCAGATCACAATAAACTTCATGTTTAAGTAGGAGTTCTCCACAGTTGAATCAGTGAACTAGAAAGATCACATTTGGGAATGTTCTTGTTCAACAAGTCTGTTTGGTCTTATTAAAATATCACAACATTTCTAAAATGAAAAATTAAGAGGTAAATGTAGTGGTGTCTACCTTTCTATATTTTATCCTTAACCTGAAACAAGAGCTATCCAATTTGGTTATTAAAGTGAGCTATATGTTAAGTGCCAGGACATTTCTAGCTTTTGTGAGAATGTGTCTACATGTGAGTATAATAAATCCACATGTATACACAGCATCTCTAACGTACTCTTACCTGATTAGTCTTTGTATTCTATAGTATATTCTAAGATATAATGTTAACATTGTTCATAACAAAAATGCTATCTTATAAATATATGTATAGTAATCTACTTTCTTTATAGAACAGGCACAAAATTTTATAAAGGAATTATAGAGTGGGGAATGATGGAATAATAGACATATTATAAATAATTTGATTCACTGTACTATTAAAATCATTTCCAAACTACCCAGCTCAATTGTCTTCTTAGAAACAGCAAAAAAAAAAAAAAAGTACAAATGGTCAAAATTAATATACTGAAAGAAACAGGTGGAAAAATTTTTTAAAGTTTACATAAGACTTTTTAACCCCCATAATTTAATATTTGTAGAAACAGGTATATATGTACTTATGTGTATATCAATGTATAAAACTGGTATGCAGTACTTGGACCTATTAATTATAATACCACCTTAAGCACTTGCTGAAAAGTATGGTCAAAATTGATTGCTGTCATTTTTTCTCACATTAAATCAGCATAGGCCAAATTCTAGAGATGTTTATAGGAATATGAAATACTGATGCTTTGTGTTTTTTCTTAATAAAAAACATTTATATACCATTTAGACCCTAGTGTGTTCAACAGATAAGTAGAATAGAAAATGTAATAATCAATATTTTACTTCTAAAGCCAAAAGGAAGATGGCAATAAAAGACACTGGATGATGGCCTTTATGTGGACATTAAAATTGCTTCCCTTAAACTGTGCAATAAGTTGAGCATCTAAGAGTATCAAGTTTTGCAGTTTGTTTATTACCCCCTTCCGTTCTTAGAACTTCATTCTGTGGCAAAACCACAATTCTTTAAGATTTATTTTGTTCAGGCCCATGCAAAATTTTTTCCTACTTTTTTTCATATTTCTTCAGTTTAATATTTTGACTTTGTGTTTTCATATAAATACTTATAGTTTCTAAAGACAAATTTTGCAAATGTTGTTTGGGGATATGTTGTTGTAAAGTGTATCTTTGCATCTTGGAGGTAGGATTTTGAAATGATTTTTAAAATGAAAATGAAGATCAGAGAGAATAATTGCTCTAGCTACATCTGCCATCTTACAGAAGAGACTATGGGTAGTAAAATTTTAGTCAATTCTTTATTCCATGATAAATATAAAATCAAGGGATAATTGCTAAATTGTGAAAATTGAAAATGACAAAACCTGATCTTTTTTCCTAATGTGACTATCTTTAGTACCTTTTAGGATTGTAATAAGAGCTGTTTACCATGCAATGTTAGCGAAACAATGCTATATTCCATGTGTACAAATGAAAATAATTTTAAATTGATAACAGCATAAATATTACTATATCCAGTATTTTCATGACTATCTTAGAAAAGGTGGGGTTTTTGAGTTATATTTCATATTTTTCAGTATATTTTTTGTATTCATATTCTATTACCAATATTATACTCAACTGCCTATTCACTGGCATATTTTGTAAATATTGTATACTTTGATTTTTTATGGTTTAAATTAGTATTAATTTATGTTATATATAACTTGATTGGCTGATCACAAAAGTCATTTCACCTCTAAACCCTGAAAACTTAGTTTTTCTAGGTGAGCTGCCTTAGAGTTTTAGTCTTAACCACTTGTATGCTGTTTTCATTTAGTCTGAATAGTGTTCATTTGTACGGATATCTTCTAAGGCTGGAAAGGTAATATTTCCTTTATTTTTTTAGATTTCTTTGTAGGGCACATGTTATGGGTTTTTAGCCACAAGTCAAAAAATAAAGAGCAGGGTTATCTATGACTGTTTCTTCTACACTGAAAGCATATATCTAATCTAATAATCCTTGTATGCTTTTAGTTATATAAGTTCCTATGAACTGAACATAAAACTCAGGAATTGGTGGCTTTATTTTAGATCAATGCTTGTATTAGCTTTTGTATGTGGATCTAAAACACATAACTTTGTATTTAGCCATAAGTTTTTGACTTTGAATGTTCCCTACCTGAGATTAATCTTTCTTCACACATGGATTGATAATGTGATTTACAGTTCCCAACTATCTCAGAGCCTCATGATGGTTTCTAGAATTTATGACCTTATCCAAAAAATACTCACATTAAAATTTAGATGAGTAATAATTATTGACACATGCATTTTTGTTTTATTGTTAAATGTACTATATCTTCGGTTAGTCACCATTTAGTGAGATATTGCTGGCTAGGAAAAGACACTAGGATATGTGAAATATTAAGTTACAACAGTACACATTTTACTTGTATTTCATATCAGTACTTTTTTGTATCACTTATAAAGGTACAGTGTAATCTTTGTCACAGTTCAGTTGACAACTGCATTCCATTGAAAAGCCGGCCTTGTAAAATACAACCTTCATTTAATATTCATGCTTTTGTGCCTTTAAGAAAATATTTTTTGTCATTTTTGTGTTGCAGAACTATAATATGATTCAAGGTGTTTATAGGCTTACTTGCCATAAAAGGGTCATTTCTCTTTGTCACTTTATTTCCTTTTATACAGGTGAAGTATATTTAAACAGTAATGCTGTACTTTTATAAGGGTTTGTCTATTTATCTATTTCAAATATAGTCTTACTATCTAAGACATTGAAGTAGACATGTCAGATTATTCTGAGTATTGTAAACAGTGCCTTTTTGATGGAATTCACACTGTTCTGGGTGTCAACTTGTGCCATATACACAAAACTTTGTGAAAGGCAGTTTCAACTTTTTGAAGAATATCTTCAACATTTAAGAAAACAAATGTATAAAATTCCATTTTGTCCATTGTTTAGCATTTCTAATGAACAATGAATAGTTTTTTTGACATACAGTGATGATGGCATTGTTGATGAGCCATACATGAGACTGCAGATTATTTTGAGTTACGTTAAATGTACAGAAATAAAATATTAACATTTATATAAAATTTTGTGATCTGAACCAATGGGGGAACCCCACAGAAATGAGTAAGTTTACATTTCAACTTCTATCTTATTTGAGTAAGTGTAAAGAAAAGGGTTCTTTAAAATATATAACCTCCTACTATTATGTAATTTGGTTTCATTTTGTTGTACCTATTGTGTGAGTTCAGTGTATTTAATTTACATTTTCTTACTCTTAACATACTATTTTTGTTACAGTTTTTAACTGAGAGTGGACTGTTAAAATTGTACAGGACCGGTGTCTTATGAATCAGATTGACATACTTTGAAGAGCCACAAGAAACCCATGACAAAATGAATGTGAATATACTTTCTAAAACATTTAGAAAAATTTGTCTTTCTGCATTTATCATGCAATATTATTTTAGTATTACAGTATAGAAAGTTTTCATTTAAAGAAAAATGCCATGAAATATTTGAACTGATGAGCCACAGAACTTCAGTTGAAATTTTTTCACTTTTTAGCATGCTAAATATACATTTAAGTTTAAATATCCTATTTGATGGCCAATTTTAAATTCAAGCACTACCACTGGTCAGTTTTGTATGATATACTAAAATTATGTTATCTATAGTATAAGAAGTATATAGCACACCATCAAATTCTTTTCCTTAAGGTGCATAGTAAATGTACAGGTAATCATAGGCTTCTGTTTTGTAATGTATTACATTTCTAAGCTGTTATTCCTTTCCTGTTATAAGTGTTTGCAGAGAGAAGAAAATTGAATTTTTCTAATGATCTGTAAAATTATGCTAACTTCTACCAGTAGGCATTCTAAATAAAATTTTTAAAAACAGCAAACTGTGATCAAGTGACTAATTAACATGGTAAACAAATTTATCGTCATTGTTTTTCCTTCTTTTGTTGGAAAAATTGCAAAGTATGGGAAACTTTGGGATTTAATAGGATCCCTAATATATGGTTCATGAGGTATGGTCAAACAATCCAGTGAATATTTAAATTTTTAAAATTTTATTACAGTAAAAGACACATTATCATTAATCCCTCTCCAAATATTCCCCTTTGCTTCAAGCACTTATTTTTGCCAGTTTCTCAAGCAGCTCTGAAAGTCTTTTCCTGAGTGTCTTTAGTTGTGCTGTCATAACTGCCTCAGTGTCCTAAATCAATTTAAAATGTCTATACCAAAGAATCTATACCGAAGAAACACACATCACCATTGTGTATCCATTGTGGGGCAACATTAGATGAATTCCAGTAAGTTATTCCTCTCTGGTTTTCCTCTACTCCCTTCTCATTCTTACTTTCCCCTCAAGGTCCAATTACTACTTGGTGTCATTGATTTTAGCTTCTTAATGGGGTGGGGGTGTTTAAGGAGGGAAGAGTCAACAGTTTTCTCCTATCCTCTGCATAGGAATAAAGAGTAAAGAAAACAGCCTCTCGGTTTTCAACCTCAGGGAAACATTTCCATTATTTTCCTTCTAATATTGACTTTTTTTTTTACTCTAATAGGTGTTATGTATTCTGCCATTATGCTAATTGGATTTTCTGTGTCTTAAAAACTAGCCCTTTATAGTGGAGATAATTGGTCAGGAGAATGGTGATCTGCCACAGGAACTTGGTGGATATTCTGTAAATATTTCACTGTTGTACTTACTCTATGCTAGGAAGTCTGCAAAGTACTTTGTAAATATTCTCCATCTCCTCGAAACTTCATGAAATTTTTCTTTTAAATGTCATCTCCATTTTTTTTAAGATGAGAAAAGCAGGGAACAAGATTACTTGCTGAATGTCACGAATGACTAAACGTCAGAGCAAACCCATGTCTGAATCCAAAGCCTATACTCTCCTTAAATCAGCCCCCACCCCGTGTGAGTGTGTACTGTACTGTCCTGCGTTTGGGTTGTATCACAATGTAGGCCAGCAGGTGTTAAAGCGTACTACTGATCCCATGTAATAAGATTTTAGACTTCGCATCTATCATTTTGGCTGAAGAAAAAGTCGCTAAATTGCAGTGGCTGGGTTTTCCATGTGATAACCTGAGCCCAGAGGACGTGGCAAACCCCCTCCGTGAGATAGAAAGCCTGAAATTCTTGGCCCTGGCCAGGCCTCCCCAATTTGCTCTCATCTTACGCTGCTTTCATCAAAACAACTGCAGGTGTGGACAGAATATGCGTGAACCCACCGCTAAAGTGCTTGGCACCAAACAAGTAGCTTCTGACGAGGGCTGGAAACCAGCCGAGTTCTACACACGGGCCCGTTCCTTCCTTCACACAAACCCCGATGGTGCGGGAAGAAGGTTCGGGGAGACGAGAGGATTCAGAGACAGTTGAAGGCCCTAGAGGGAATGAATTCACCTAGACAGCCAGGGAAGGATTTAGGGTTGCGACCCGGGGTCAGATCCTGGTGAACCTCTATCCTTTTTTCTGTTTTCTTGGTTGCCTGGCCTCCCCAGCCTAACTCGCAAAATACATTAGAAAGCTTTTCCACCAAGCGAGACCAAGAGGAAGATCAGCGGGATATCACATCAAGAAGCGACACTCGCGCACCTTCCGGGTTTAGCCCCTGGCTTCCGGTTTCCGCCTTTTCCGTTTCCGGCTGAGCCCGCTCCTCTTGCTTAGAGCTGTTGTTCTGACTGCAGTCTAGCAGAAGCGGTTCAGACCCTGAGGTCTATGGCTGTCGCGGGGTCTGTGAAGATGGCCCTGCAGGTAGCCGAGGTGCTGGAGGCTATTGTGAGCCGTTGCGTGGGGCCCGAAGGGCGGCAAGTTTTATGTACGAAGCCCACCGGCGAGGTGCTGCTCAGCCGGGATGGAGGCCGCGTCCTGGAGGCGCTACACTTAGACCATCCCATAGCGAGGTACCTGAATCCTAAACTCTGCTCCCCCTTCCCCCACCGCCACCCAGTACACACCCTGACAGGCTCCCTGAATCTCTTGTCCCTTCCTGAGGCTCTGTAAGTGGGAAAACGACCTCTAGTGAGACCGGCATATACAGGGGATTAGAGTGTTGCCCAAGGGATACTCGTGGATTCCAAACTCTTAGGGACTCCCAAGAACACTTATTCCTCTCCTCCCTAGAATCTTAGAATAGAACAAAGTAAATTGGAAAGGAAAGAAAAACTAAGACTGTATATCAAAAGGACAACATTCTTTCCTTGTATCTGTAGCTGGACAGTTAAGTGATTCCATGTAGAAGCCCAGACTTCTGAAAATTTGACTTGTTTTATTTCTGTCTGTCTCTGTCTCTTGGTGCAGGATAATAGTGGCGTGTGTTTCCAGTCATCTCAGAAAAACAGGAGATGGTGCTAAAACATTTATTATCTTTCTTTGCCATTTACTCAGAGGACTTCTTGCAATCACAGAAAAAGAAAAGGATTCTTTGACTTTGGAAAATATTCAAACCTTTGAAAGACGTTGGAAAAATTGTTGTCAGTGGAAATGTATTTCCCAAGCTCTAGTAACGTTTCAGACACAAATATTAGACTATATTATAGATGAGTACTTAAGTAGACACTTTTTATCCATCTTCTCTTCATCTGCTAAAGAGAGAACATTGTGTAGGAGCTCCTTAGAGTTACTCTTAGAAGCATACTTTTGCGGAAGAGTGGGAAGAAATAATCGCAAACTTATTTCACAATTGATGTGTGACTACTTTTTCAAGTGTATGACTTCTGAAAGTGGGATGGAAGTGTTTGAGTTAGTGGATAACTGTTTTGTAGAGTTGAATGTCAGTGTCACTGGCCTTCCTGTGTCAGATTCTAGGATCATAGATGGTCTTGTGCTTCACAGAGATTTTTCTGTTTACTGTCCAGCAGATGGTGACATACGAGTAGCAATAGTAAGGGAAATCATTCAGCCTGTTTTTTCAACTTATAGATCAGAGTTTGTTCTGAATTCAGAAACACAGTTTCAGACATCTCAGATTTGGATTATGGAAAGGACAAAATCAATAATGAAACATTTACTTAGTCAGAATGTAAAATTGCTCCTATCTAGTGTGAAACAACCAGATTTAGTTATTTATTATGCAAGACTAAGTGGCATATCAGTGGTGGACTGTTTATCATCAGAAGAAATTTCTCTTATCCAAAGGATCATTGGTCTTTCCCCATTTGTACTTTCACAGGCCTCTTTACAGTGTGAAATTTCTGACACTGCTTCAGTAAAATTTTGTAAACCTTTTATCCTTAGATCCAAAACATATGTTCATCTTGGTCTAATTAGCACATGTACATTTATACCACACTGTATAATTCTTTGTGGACCAGTGCAGGGTCTTGTTGAACAACATGAAAATGCTTTATACGGAGCATTTAAAATGCTTCAGCAGTTATTTAAAGACTTTGATCTAAATTATATTAAAAAAGCCAATAACCAAAATGACACATTAAGTCCTCCAATTTATAAAAACAGTGGAAAAAATAATCAGTTACCCAAAAGTTATACTCACTCTATACAAAGGCCTTATCAAGACACAGATATAAAGAACAATGATGAATTGGAAGAAACTCAATATTTAAAAGTACATTCAAATTTGGTAGTTTCAAATGTTGAATTAGAAACATATATTCCATGTTCACCACCAAAAATGATACCAACAGATGCAGTCCAAACAGATGAAACATGGAGGTGTTTGCCTCTTGAAAATAACAGGGTAATTGATGACTATGAACTATTAATTGAGAGTAATTCCGCTAGTAATTCTATCACAGAAAACACTAGAATAGAAATTTCTTATGAAAATTTCCAGGTCATAGATATTGCTGAAAAGAGGAGCATGTTACCAGTGAAATATAAATCAGTAGATACGTATAAATCACAGAGTTTCTGTTCATCATCTATACCAGCAGGTTGTGTTTTGCCTGTGGGTGGGAGTTTTGAGATCTTACTACATTATTACCTTCTCAACTATGCCAAAAAATGTCAACAATTAGATGAAATCATCGTTAGTAAGTTAATAGCCAATGCACTTTTAGGGATCCCCAAAATCCTTTATAAACCTAAGAAAGGAAATCACAGCTTTCCACAAATATATTTGAGAGCTCTCCACACACTGCAAACTAATCAACCCATGGTAAGCAGTTGGGCAGGTTTGGAATCAGTAATTGGTAAATACTATTTACTAACTTCAGTTCTTCAGTGTTTAACAAAAATATTAACCATTGACTTAGTGATCAATATTAAGAGACAGCCTCAAAAAAATTCTGATCAAGATTCAGAAGATGAACTTCAACATTAGAAGTTTTTTGTTAACCAATCTTAATCTAACTAGAACCATAAAGTAAAGCAGGCATATGACTGTTGGTTCTGAGATCAATTCAGTGTGGTCAGGAAAACAGCGTGTAACTTCAAATATCTTCAGAAGTATGCCAAGGCAACCAGATCATTCAGATGCAAATATTAGGCTACTTTATGGAGCAAAACTAAAGTGGAAGTCAAGATCCAGTGAAATATGTCTCTTTCTCCGTATGTCTCTGTGTCCCACCTCTGCGTTAGTCTGTGTTTAAAGGAGGATGTTTTAATAATTTTCACATTTTACTTTGGATGGGGTATTCAAATGACATCTTGATTTGATTATCAACAGTTAAATATATAAACATTATTTGCTTCATTTAAAATATTTCCCTACTTCTATAACTTGTAGAGCAGTAAAAAGTCTCAATTTTTCTTTTAAAAAGCATATAAATTAAATTAGTTCTTTCATGTGCCACTTGTTTCATTTCTATTCCTTTTGGAAAAGGCTTGGATAGATTTTCACAACTCATACATCGCTGAATATGTGATATGAAAAATAGCATTGTGCATTGTGAATTCTTTTTTATTTCTGTAATTAAAAGTTAATTCCAGAAAGAATATGAAATTCATTCTTTTTTCTCCAGGAGCCTAAAAATCTTATAAAGATATTTCATGTACTTACTGGTTTTTCTTGTATTTGGTGCATATTCAGAGTTCAGTAGTAACAAATAATTTGACAGTTATTTCTCATTTGAATTTACAGATGTTTGTATTTTATTTTAAAAGCTTATAGAAGCAAACAGTGCTATGCATCTGGCCATGGATAAGAACAGTGTCCTGTATTTGTACTAATTCTCTGGAACATCCAAAACAGTGCTTTATCTATTCCAAGTATTCAAAAGTGCTTGTGAAATAAAAATGTTGTCTTTGCTCTGTTTCCCTAAATGCATGTTTCCAATTTACTTATTCAAAAAATTCCTACCAAGTACTTAACTCTGTGCCAGATATTGTGGTAGATACTGAGCATATGTCTTCATGAACCTTTCCCTCAAAGATTAGTGGATAGATACGTACAATACTTGGGTTAGGATTGATTGAGGAAAACCAAAGAAAAAACTATGATTGGGTAAGGAGTGACAAATAATATATTAAAAAATTGTAGCATCATGTACAGTATCTCATTACCTTTTATATTAAGCATAGTTCTGATTTTTAAAGGTCTGTGTTATGGGATGCATTATTTCATTTCAGTGAATGTGAAGAGAATAATACAGCTCTTAAGGAATTCGTAGATGAATGAACCTATGTTAAAATTGCTGAGTAATTTTTTCTATTCATGTTCAATACCCTGTCAGGTCATTTTGCTTTGTTTTGTTATTGTTGTTATTGTTGAAGGCATTCAAAGACTTTTCTAAATATCCCCAGTGTTGTTTATATGGTAGGCATTTAATGTCATAGTTCAGAAAACTTTTTGTAAGTTGTCTTTGTATGATTGGCCCCTGGTGTGGTATGTTGCACACTAACTATCCAATAAACATCTGTTAAGGACCTGTTTGTTGAATCAGTTAATCCTTGAGCCCTCATAGATTAGGTTACATCTATAAACTTTCATGAGCAAACTGTTAGGGGAGAAGGAACAAAAAATATAGAACAGATCTACATAAAGTAATTTGTTTTCTTTTAATTAAAAAAAATCTCTCAATGATGTGATAAAGCTTTCATGAGTTTTCTTTATTTACAGAATAACACTGGGGGGTTTACATCACTGGGCTAGTTAAGAGAGAACTTTGGAAAATGTAATTATATTAAATTGATATTCTCTACCACAAAGAGGTATTTGAGGTGACCTGCAATAAGAACAGATAAATTCATGGTAAAATCTAAATAAAAATTAAAGAATCAGAACCAAAGAAAAAAGTGAAGACAATGTAAATTCAAGACCATTTTCCTGTTTATTAATGCTGCATATTAAATAACCCATAAACTTAATATATTTGAATCATTACCTGTTATGATCCTGGGGATTGACTAAGCTTAACTGGACAACTTCCATTGTATTCGCTTGGCCAAGCAGTCACAAAGGTTTAAGGGAAGAGAACGTAGGCCTCATTCATTGGGAAGAGTGTCAGTGCCACATCATAAAAAGAGTGTGTGGGATGGGGATATATTGAGGCAGCTATCTTTGGAAAATACAGTCTGCTCCACTGTGGAAGGGATAAAGAAGTACAATATGTGTTAACTTCTCAACAGAGTTTCTATTAATTGTTTCCTGAGGTTACATACCTCCCACTATCACATTTTGTCCAATAACATTTATTTTTTCTCATTAAGTCAGCATGAGCCACTTTTATGTTCAAAACAATAGGCATTAAATAATTGAACTTTCTGGACATGGTGGTGCATACCCGTAATCCCACCACTCTGGGAGGCTGAGGCAGGAGGATTTGAGCCCAGCCTGGGCAACTTAGCAAGATCCTGTCTCAAAATAAATTGAAAAAGAGCTGGGGATGTAACCTAGTACGAAGGCCCTAAGTTCAAGTTCAATCCCTAGTACCACCAAAAATATATATAGATATACAGATATATATCTGAACTGCTTCAGCCAGTGGAGCAATTTCATCATATTCAGGAAATCTCATGGTGTCCATGTTTCAGACTAAAAGAGAAAAGATAGGGGAATGCTCTACAAGCCTGAAGCAATTGCTCATGTCCTTGCAAAAGGAGTAGCCTATACCATTAATCTGTATGTTTTGGATGCTCTTTGTTTCGGCAGTTCTATCTTTATCCCAGCACAGACAACAAAATCTCTCAAATGGCCACATGACTAATGTTTAAACTCTTGTTATAAAAGCACATGTTAAAATCAAATAAGTCATAAAATAGCCCTGTGTAATCATTTAGTTTTACACTTTATTAACTTTTTGCCATATTTATTTCTCCCAGAGATTTAAGGAAGAGACATGTTTTATTTTAAATTATCTTCTGTAATGTTTGGTGTGGTAAAACTATTGATTATTTCAAACTTCAGTGAAAGTTTGCTACACACATACTTCTTGTATTGCTGAGGAAGTCCGAGGAAAATAGTGTTGTTTTTTCCCTTGTAAGTTGACAAAGGATGGACAAAGGAGAAGAGACATAAGAAGTGGAATGTGTGGTGGATTGAGAGTTTAGTGGGAGCAGGAAATCTAAGCAAGGAATGACCACAGAAATTTAAGCACTTTGGAATTTGAAGAAATCTTAGGAAAGCCACTGAACTCTCCATAGGAGGTAGGATAAGGTCCTGAACCATTTTTATTTAGACATTAACTATGTAGACAACTGCCTAAGACTAGAGGGCTTAGGAACAACAACAAAATAGCATGTGCTTAGTATATACAGGAATGATTAAATGGATGAAAGAATGAGCCTAGTACTGTACCACTTGGTACAGTACAAACTTTGGTAAACCCCAAATGGCCATCCCAGACCAGGCAGTTAAATGAGCACAACTGTATGACTCCTAGTCTACAATTCCTCCATATAGAATTTGCCTTTATTAGGTCTACTATCTAGAATATATAAAGAACTGAAAAAAATCAGACCCCCTCAAATATAAAGACCCAACTCAAAAATGGACATCTGAAATGAACAGACATTTCTCAGACAAAGAAGTAAAAGCACCAAATAAATATATGAAAAAATGTTCAACATCACTGGTCATTCGAGAGATGCAGATGAAAACAACACTGAGATTCCACCTCACCCCAGAAAGAATGACTGCTATCAAGAAATCAACCAATAACAAATGCTGGCTGGGTTGTGGGAGAAAGGAACCCTTCTCCACTGCTGGTGGGAGTGCAGACTGGTGCAACCACTGTGGAAATCAGTATGGAGACACCTCAAAGAACTAGGGCTAGAGGTCCCATTTGACCCAGCTATTCCCCTGCTGGGTATCTTCCCCAAAGAATTAAAAGAATTATACCACAGCGATATATGTGCACCCATGTTTATAGTGGCACAGTTTTAATAGCTAAAGCTTGGAAACAGCCCAAGTGCCCATTAACTGGAAACTGGATAAAGAAGATACGGGATTTTTTTTTATAAAATAGAGTACTACTCAGCCATAAAGAATGAGAAACTAGAGATATTTATAGCTAAATGGATGCATATTGAGGCCATACTCTTAAGTGAAATAAATAGGACACACGTGTAAATACTGAATAGTTTCTCTAGTGTGAGAAACTGAAAATGTAAATAAGGATTAAAATGATTAAAATGAATAATTGATAATTTGAAATATTAAAAGGTCCAACGGTGTAGGGGCAGTGGGAGGGGAAGGGGAAAGGAAAGAAGGGAAAGGAAAAATTATGAGAAAAAAAAATGAAAATGAAATCTATGTAAATAGGGAAGGGTGGAATGGGTGGAGGGCACACAGGTAATGGGAAAAAAATAAGAACCAAGACACATCATGTACAGGTACAAGCACCCAATGATAAATGTAAACATATTGTATATCTAAAATGTACCAATAAAAGAATTTAAAAGAAAAAAAAAGAATTTGCCTCTATTAAACCTTCATTTGAGCCTTGCAATTACTAACCCTCACTTTCTTGACTGTACCTCTTTCATAACCGAGTGGGAAAGCTATCCAAGAAGCTGATCCATTTGCTGTGAGGTGTTCAACTCACCCACTTGCTATGAGGTGTTCAATTTGCTTTATTTGACCATTTTTTTCAAGGAATAATGAAATCCACTGTGGGCTCTGAGGCGCAATACCACCAGTCCATAAGGTTTTTTTTTTTCTTGAATGTTTGCACCATGGTCGCATTGTACATCAAGCTTACTGATGCAAAAAGTTTAGAATAGAGTGTCCAAATGTAAATAATGTGTACAAGAGGCACGTGAAGCCAGATAACAGGTAATAGTTTAAAGATTTTTTTTTTTGTTAATAATTTTCAGGCTTTCTAATTGGAGCTTCAAGTCCATCTTCAGGTGTTCTCTTTTGCCTGATTTATTAATCTAAATCCATCCTCCCACCCTTCTTCCCTCCTTCCCACCCTGGTTTTTGAGATGGCTTTCCATGCTTAATGACTTGACCGTGCATGTCAAGATGGGGCTTGGATTTTTCCACTGTGTGCAGCTGACCTATCAAAATTTATGTAGAAAATTAGGGATCTACATGGTTGTCACAATGATCATGAACTGAGTTGGAGGACTCTTTGAAAATAAAAATATATTTTTATTTGACAGCACTGTAGTATCATATTTAGGCAATTTCTCAAATTCAGTTATTCAAATCTTATATCTGTTTTAGCCAGTCTGTAGATCTGCTGTAGGAGAATAAAATGTATAGAATGAATTCTTAATAAAATCTCTGGTGAAAGGACTCTTCAAGGGTTATATGATTCAACAGGGGTCTGTGTCTTTTATTGCCCTTGACTAATTTGAGGTTGGTAGAAATTGAAGTTAAATTATGGAAGGCTGATGGTAATGCATATGATTCTGTTCTTAGAAATACAATTTGAATTTTGTCTATTGAAAATGTATCGATTTCTGCTGTAACAAGAGGCTAGTTTTGCATCTGTCAGCAAAATCAAGCCAAGCATGGTACCTTGTAATCCCAGCATTTGGGAGGCTGAGGCAGAAGGATCGCTGCCAGTTTGAGGCCAGCCTGGGCTACATAGTGAGTTCAAGACCAGCCTGAACTATACAACAAGACCTTGTCTCAAAAAACAAAACAAAACAAAATTCAGTCTTACTGATTGCCTATATTATGTGTTTTTCCTCTGGATTCTTTTGTACCAGTACTTATACTGGTTGTCTTATTATATAATAGTACAAAAAATTTTGACATGTTCATTTTATAGTTGTACAATTTTACGCATTTTACTTACCCTTTAGCACCATGAGTCTCTAGCAACAGTCCATCTCCACAAGTGGAGTGGCATTGAGTGAGAGGAGAACTCTGAGTTTCTGATATTTATCTAAAAGAGACTGAGTTGACAGAGCCACTTGAATGGGCAAGATAATATTTGCCCTCATTTCTGAACACAGTTTCTAGATTCAAGTTTATTTCAGTATAGAGTTATAGAAACATATGTTTGCACAGTCAAATATGAGGATTGATGTGTGTGTGTGTGTGTGTGTGTGTGTGTGTGTGTTCTACAGTTTTGGCTAGTTCACTTATGTAACAAAAAAATAGGAAGAATAGATGTTGTGCTGGTCTTAGGGAAACAGCATGGAAAATGCCATTGACTCCATCTCTCCCTCTGCCTCTCCTTATCTCTATCTTAACTACTTAAGGCTTCATCTCTTTCCTTATCAATTTCATTCTCCCAGTCTGGCATCTCCTCAAGTTTAGACTTGCTGCTAGAATCTCAGCCTCCCTCTGTTCATATCCCTTGTAGAGAAAACCATAGCATAAGACTCTTCAAAAATGTCAGCAAGAAGAGCCGGGGATTTAGCTTAGTGGCACTGTGCCTGCCTTGCAAGTACAAGGTCCTGAGTTCAACCAGGTACCAAAAGAGAAAAAAAAATCTAGAAAAATGTCAACGAGAGAAGAACCCTTCTAAC